AGTCTTGAGTGACCTACTAGAGAGGAGTAGGAAGGAACCAGGGATATTTCTATTGAAAGGAAAGAAAAAAGCAGGCTGCAGCATATGATACTTGCCTCTATATATGTGAATAACTGCCAAATGAAAGAGGAAGTTAAATTATAGTGTCTTTCCCAAGGCAGAACTAGTACAAATGGGTGAAATTTACAAGACAGATTTTTATTCAGTATAAGGAACTATCACCTAATATTGAGTTGTCAAAAATTCAATTGCTGCATTGCAAAACAGTGGCTTTCATGTCATTGAAACATTTCCTGCAGAGAGCTGTCTAAAGCCATCTTTGAGAGAGATAGCTCTTCACTGGATGAGGCAGAGCACTAGATAACCTCTTCCATTGCTTCCAATGAGAAAGTTTTAGGAAACTACAAATCAATATATTCTTAAAAGAATAAAAATAGTACATAAATGTGTCCTGTAATGGTGTTTTAAATTATTAGCTTCATTTTCAATTAAATATGTTATTATAGTTCATTTATCACTGGTCCTTATGGCTGATTGGATTTTTCTACCTTGTTTCTTAATGTAATGACTTATATGAAGGTTTATTGAAAAACAAAGCAAAACACAAATTTGTTTTCCAGGCATCTCCCTAGAAGAGGTAGCAACTTATAAAGGACAAAAGAGAACACACATGGATAATACCTTAGCACTTTTCTTCCTCTTTCCACAGCTACTTTCATCTACTCTAAAATGAGAGGTCAATTTGTAAATGTATCAACCTAACTAGTGGAATATTTGAATCCCTAACTGTAGTGCCAATTGGGACTTTTCCCCTCTTAACTTTCTCAGCAAATTTTCCATCAAACAACTAGCATTTGAGTGACTGACTCATTCATCCACTTAATTATTTGTTCAACATGCCCTGTGTTAAATACTGACACAGGGCATAGTTGGTGACTCAATCTGGTCACTTAAGCCACACCCGACCCACTGCTGCTTGCTCAGGGCCCCTGCTCCTTCATCGCCAAGCCATCCTACACCTCCTCTTCACACCAGCTTTCTCTGGCGCTGATCTCCTTCTTTCCTCACCTGTGACCTGCTGATGACGTGAGTCATGTGTGAGTTTCCGTCTCTAGCAGCTCTTGCACAATTTCTCTGTCCTCAGTTTCCATGGTCTTTGAAAGCTTCTAGCCACGCTTACCCAGACACCAAGAGGAAAAGGTAGCACTTCCAACTTAAAGACAGTTCTTGATTAGGCTGACTGAACTCAACAATTACAACTCTTTTTTTTTGTAATTTCAATTAAGTACTTATAAAGGATCTAGGAACTCTAGTGATGTTATTATAAATTATTTTGTACTTGTGCTAATCAATAATATAAAGGTCAGGTTATTTTCTAATAGATGCAAGGGAATTAAATGGTTTTTCTGAAAAAACTGGTGATGAGAGTAAAGGTCTGATTTATAAGTTACACTATGAGCTTCTCACTTAGTGATAAAATACAAATGGATTTATCTGAAGGTAAAGAGAAGCTGCATTTGTTCTCAATAGTTGCTATAACAATTGTTACAAACTTGGTGTATAGCTACATAAATAACATATTTATTATCTTACAGTCTTGTATATCATAAGTTCTAAATGAGTCTACAATCCAGGTAGTTGGCAGAACTGCACTCCTTTAAGGAGAATCTAGAGTAGAAGCATTCTACTGGCCTTCCGTTTCTTTGGATCCTCCATCTTCTGAGCTCCCAACATTGGGACAAGTCCTTCTTTGACATTTTTGCTCCTTTACTCTAATTTCTTCTTCCATTTGAAAGGCATAAATAATTACATTTGACCTCCTTGAATAATCCAGGCTAATCTTCCCATTCTAATGTCAGTTCATTAACAATGTTAATTACATCTATAACCTTAATTCTCCTTTGCCATGGGATATAGAATATTCATAGATTTTGAGGATTAGGTCACATAAGCTGAGGGAGGGCATTATTTCACCTATCATAAATGCATAAAATTAAAATCTGATATAATGAACCGAGCTCCAGGTTTGAATTATTGAGGAAATGACATTTTCAAATTTCTTTTCAGTTTTTCTGGTAATACAAATTACAAAAGTGTAGTTATCATTTTCTACCCAAAAGAATATACATGGCATTGATATTACTTGGTGAGAATTTTAGCAGGACTATTAAGGCTCTCAAGAACGCCAGTGGGGGCTAGCTAAAATTTTATTGAAGAAAGAGTATTAAAGTGAGTTCTATTTTCTAGATTAGATCTGGAACACAGCACAGATTCACCCAGAATTGAATGAATAGCTCAATGGGAGATGCTTTCTTGTGCATAATAGAAGAAGGTATAACAAAGTAATTCTGTATATGTCACAGAGAAGGGAGAGCAGAACTCTTATTTTTCCTCTTGTGATTCTAAACTCCATTATTTAATTTTCCATGTCCTCAAAGACTGGTCTGAACTATTTTGTTTTCTAGCTCTGGGATTGTACAGATTTTCCAATCTCATTTATGTAGTACTATATTGTAATCACAGTTATTTTTTGTAAGAATTGGTTCTAAAAAAGGACAAAATTAGAATGTAGTTATAGACAGATGAAAGAACAAATAGGTAACTTATAATAGAGCAATATCATAATAAACATAAGGCTCTTCCAGCAGTTAAAACAAGGTAAGATGAAGGCATTATCTGTTTTTGTATGTATCATATGTCTCATGGCACGTATTACAAAGATGAGACGTGAAATAGTACAATATGGCTTTTCTTTCTGTGAGTGTTAATCTGAAATGTCAACTACATAGGATCAAGAAACACATAGCAGATTAGGAAAGCATGTTTCTGGGAATGTCTGGGTGGGTCATGATTCCCTGTCCATTCCTTTCTGTCAGTGTTTCTAGGCTATGCTTTCTGGCCACCATGAGCTGAGCAGCTTTGCTTTGCCACACCCTTCTGCCAAGATATTTCTGTCTTGAAACTATGACCGTGGACTGAATCCCCCAAACAGTGAGCCAAATTACATGTCTCCTTTGTAAAGCTGTGAGTGTTGGATAAGGAATCTCAGCCACAAGAAAGCTAACTAATTAATATATCTTCTTCAGGCTTACAGAGGCCAATGACCTTTGCATCTACGTTTTTTTTAAACTTAAGTACTATATTGTGGTTTCAGCTGTTTGTCAGCTGTATCACATCATTCTAACTAAACATTTATCCCAATGAAGCAGTTTTCCATAACAATGCAATAGATATTCAAAATTTACCTCATCCTTAACATCAATATAATACAGGAGGCAAACGACACAATCCTTTAATAACTGCCTTGTTTTTCTTTCTTTTCCTTCCTCCCTTTCTTTCTTTCGTTTTTCTTTCTCTTTCTTTCTTTCTTTCTTTCTTTCTTTCTTTCTTTCTTTCTTTCTTTCTTTCTCTTTCTTTCTTTCTTTCTTTCTTTTTCTCTCTCTCTTCTTTCTCTCTCTTTCCTTCCTTTCTTTCATTCTTTCTTTCCTTCCTTCTCCTCCTCCCTCTCTTTCTTTTATAAATACCTTTAGTTAACATGACTCTACCATATTAGGGAAGACTAACTAAGGAAGGGGTCACTTGTGCCCATCCAGCCATGCCCAGGTCAGGCCTCCTCATTGGAAAATACTTTCAGGTAAGGCTCAGTGTATGTGACCTATTCAGATACCACAAAAAATGCCTCTTCCCACCTGCCTTTAGTCATACCATCACACAACACAACTTTACACACCTACAAGTTAAAAAGGCAAGATGTCGAGAATAAGGTATGCATGAAAATGTGTCAGCCATAGGCTGAGGAGACAAATCACATGGCCACTTGAAAAACATCTTGGAAAACTGAATATGTACTAATGTCCTGGTTATCATCTCCACTCATAGAGCATCTGTCACCACGTTCATGGCCACTACCATGGCACTCATTGTTTAAAAGAGCCACAAACTGAAGCAAAGCAGTTGGCTTTAATGGCAGGTGGTTCTATTTTTTAAGAAAGACATGTCTGTCATTTCCTCTTTCTAGATTTCAAATCAAAATATATGCAAAATTACTCAGGTTTGGAGGGTCATTTACATAAGGAAAGATTTGTATGTTTATGAGTTAGTAAGAGTTACATATTTCTGTTTAAACTTTTATATATTAAACTTCTGAATTTCTGTTAGGACTTCTTAAGTGCTTCAACATGGAAAGTAACAGTTGGAGACAGAGGAGAGAATTAAGACAAAGGTATGGCTGAGGAAATTTTTCCTAAAACAAAATAATCCCTATGTACACTTACATCAAAACTCAAGGAAATCAAGTTTATGGTTCTGTGCATTTTGTTATGTTATACACCCTGTAGAGGTAAATGAGACAAAAGGTTGATCTGGTCCTTAAAGAATAACAACGAGAAGATAGTGGCAAAAAAGGGACACAAGAATGGGGAGAGAAGATAATGCTGGAGTTGAACAGTAGAAGAAATGTAGCAAAGCCATTCCTAGCAACATAGTCCTGGCTCTTATGTGCAAGTAACTGGATCCACAAGGACGTATTCTGCCTAACCCTGTGCTAGTAGAGTTCCAAACAGGCCTTCAATCTCCCCATAAACACCTTTCATCGTAGGATGTTACTCTTTAAACATTCCCAGTTACTGTTCCAAGATCACTAAGAGTAAACCAACAATGCTCTTTTGAAATTCAGATTATTTTAGTCCTGAATGATTTTTCCCTAAATGTATTTAGTATTTATATTAAATACTTATTTTTATTTAAATAAAACAGGTACTTTGGATATTTATGAATGAAAGCTAACTTGGAAATCTTTGTGAATTGATAAACTATATGCGAACTCTCAGGGCAAGGTGACTTTTCTCTTCATAAGTGTTCCAGAACAGTTTTCTCATCAGATATGAAGTAGCTCCTTCTTGGAAGAACACCACCCAGTTGATTCAAAGTTAAATATATATTGAAGAATTTTGCAAAGCTGAGAAACTTTGTAGTCAAATATTCCTTGAATTGCTACTTACATTGTGCTTTGTGAGGTTTGAAATATTAGTTGCTATTGCTTGTAGCCAGTCAACAGAGTCTTCAGTGGAGAGGCACTGAATAATCCCACTGCAGACTCCATCCACAGCAATGACTTGAAAAGCATTCTGCCTGCAGACATATCAGAACAAATCAGAACAAAATGTGATGTTGCTTCTCTGTTTGCAACTCAAAATAGACAACAAGGGGAATAGACGTTTTGGAAATGAAAAGGGGACCTGGAGATAAAGATGGAGGGAAGGGGAGAGAAAGAGAGAGTAAAAAGGATCAAGATATGATACGTACATTATATTCACCCCATGGTAAATATCCTTATTATATACTGTAAACATGTCTTAATAAAAAGGGAAAAGCGTATCAGTTGAAATACTCCTCTTTCAAATAATGATTATCAAATTCAAATTTTATCATTTCCCTTTATAAATATTCATTTTAAGTGCAATGACAAAAATAAATATTCATTTTTAAGTGCAATGACAAAACTAAATATATTTTAAAATTAGGAAGAATCATTCTTAGATTTCAAAAAAATATGAGCAAACTTTGAGAAAACATAGAGTATGTAAATAGAAAAGATCTAAGAAATTTAGAAGCATTCTTTCCCAGTTTATCATTAAAATATATGACTTGATATATTATTTTATTTATCAACATTTCCTCTTGACCTTTGTGCATGCACTTTCTGACTTACAATGGAAAAACTATAGACATGGACAAATATTAAATCCATATGAAAAGATCCCTTGACTTTCCTCGGCTGCAGCTCTCTGGTAGTTGTTTGCACACTTAATCTCAGTGTATTCATATTCTCAAATATGGTTTGGGACAGAAGGTTCATACGTCCTCTGCGAATGATTTTGTTCTTAATTTGTGTGAATGCTGAGAATTTCAGTAACATTAAAATTTGTCTTGAAATCCAATGTTCAATGTAACTATATGGCTTCTATGGATTTTTGTTGTTATCGTTAGAGAAAATTAAATAATACCATACAACATTATATAAAAAAATGCTACAGAATTTAAACCAACTCCCTAAAGCTACAATAATTTACTTTTTTGTTCTGCATCAAGTTCTTGAAATGTTTACACATAAGCTTAATGGGAAGAAAAAGATAAAATCCCAAAGTGAATGGAAGTTAGCCAAATGCCTTAGCCTTGAGAATTATCAGTTATGCAACAGAGTACACTTTAGAAAATGTACAAACTCTATTTAAGTCTCAGTCAATTGTGAAAGCAATAGAAAACTTCAGCAGCACAGTATTCAGAATGCTAGATAAGTTGCATAAAGTTATATTTTGCCAAATAAATATCTTCTGAGTTTTGCAACTGAGCATTTATGGGTATAAAACATTATTCACTTACTCAAATAAAAAAAAACCCTGGAGCATGTATCTGACTTAGGTGCACAATTGGGCTTCTATGATGCTCTCTTTTCTTTAGACCAGCTCCTTGCTGAGAACTGAACACACGCTGAAGCTATGGGCATCCAAAGTGCTCTGCATTCAAATTACTAATATTTTTTAGATGAATTGGTTTTTACTCCTAGACTCAGGATTATCTACTGAAACAAGGAATGTGTTTCTATATACAGTTATGTTTTCTCTTAAAAATGTATGAAATACCTTTAGGAAATAAAAACATTACCTGCCTCTTTGAAAGTTCTTTTGAATTGAAACAGAAAAATATATGTATACCACAAAAAGAATGTTAAACATTCACAAGTACATTTTTACCTTTAGTCCTACTTTTCAAAAGTGAATAAGACATTTTAAATATCTAGAGAGAAGATTGGCTATCAAAGGAAAAGGAGAACTAATTTGAATTGAATATGTTTCTTTCCAATTTCTGGTTATCATAACTATTGCTTCATGTACCAAAAATTAAAGCATGTCTTGAACATATTTGTCCTCTATTCTTCTTTAATATTTAAAGAAGAGGTATTTTTAGCTGATTCAAGTCAAGACACAGATAAAATTTTCAGTCTATATAACTCTATGTTATATAGTCTCTAAATAGAATATTTCTGAAGGACTAATATTTTATAAACTTAATCCCGTAAGTTAACACAAAACAATTTTCATGTTCTGTATCAACTTCTCAAAGTTGATGAAGACTTTCATAAAGGACTAGAACAACTTCTTTTATTCTAAGTCACCTCTTACAAAAGAGGCTGATCACAAAGATTACATTTATCTGGGTTATACTTCTGTATTTACTACCAAAAGGAAGACAGGGTACTGACAAATTAGCCATTTAGTCATGCCTCAGTTTCTCCAAGAGAAAAATGAAAAGATAGATTTTACAGATTTAACAAGTATTTTCTAAATAATTTGTGGGATCCAAATGCTCTCACAATATTTGACTCTCTATGATTGATTTTTCTCTGAATGACCTATGAACATGTGGTTAAGATTGTGATATGTCACTGTTTGGTGATGATGTCATCACACATTTATTTCACTAACCAGAAGAACTTCAGCACTTTTGCTTTTATTTGTGGCTTTTAGAAAAATCTAATGCTTTGACTCAAAGTAAGCAGGAATAGTCAATCCTCTTTGTTTCATCTTATTCAATGGCATATTTCCTGAAATCCAGTAGACCCCATAATTCATTTAATATTGGTAAATATTAAAATTTAACAGTGGTGATGTAGTATTGAGTGTAATCAGACACAACTATTGTTTTCAGTTTAAAATATAAAATTGAAATAACTAAAGAGTTAAGTAATCTCTGAGATCAGATTGATTTTTCCACTTTCTAGTTAATACCTTCAAAGTATCCTAAGGATTCCTTTGGCAATAAAACTATTCTCAAATATTACTGAATTTCAAAGTAATTGTGTTCATTTATAAAAATTTAGTCATTCTTGTATAAAAGTAATGTTTCTCATAAGAATTCATAAATATTTTGATCTAACGTATGTATACACATGAATACACATACATTTCTACTTAGTACAATGAATAATCCATATTTTCATTCATTGTTGATTTCAGACCACATGAAGGAATTATCCAGGAAGATGCTAAGATGCAAACAGGAGAAGGCAAAACAAACTTTGCACATGAGGAACAAGAGTTTTAGAGACTAAAATACACAGGTTTGCAACGGCTGGACTGGTGTGCTCATAAGTAGAAATCTGGGGAAATTGGTATGGAAGAACCAGCTCCAGGTGAAGACGGCTGTTTATGTCTTACAGGGAGAGTAAAGTTCAAGGGGAGCCAGGGTTGGACGGTGTATGGGGAATACAATTCTAGATGTATGTGGAGGGGGTCCTTCAGTTAGACCAGCAGGGAGAGTATTATAACTGGTAAAATATGAGATGATGTGGAACTGAAATAATGTTAGTGAAAGTGAAACAATTAGTTTATGTGATTTCAAGTCATTAGAAAGGATTTGGTTCAATAATTGCATTTTAAATGGATTATGAGGGAGAAAGGTAGAGTCAAAATTGTTCTGGGGTTTCGGACCTAAGCAGTGAAATAGCTGAGTTGCAAGAGGCAACTTAGAAGATAATTAATCCCAAAAATGAGTATCAAAGTTCTAAAAAGCATGGGATACTGTGAGAAATATAGGTTGCTTATACATATTTCATTGTACAGATAAAGATGGCAATAAAACAAGGCCTAATCAGCAAGAGCTTTGCAAACGTTGCTACATTTACTACACCCTGAAGGTCAGAGAGAGGCAATGGGAACATTTAAGCATTAGAATGAAAAGAACATAATTGTAATGGGAAAGGGAAATAAAGGGAAACAAAGTCTTTGTAAATAGGGAAGGGAGGAGGGGGTGAAGGGAGGACAGGGGAATGGGAAAAAAATAAGAACCAAGATACATCATGTAAAGGTACAGGATTCCAAGGATGAATGTAACTATTGTATACCTAAAATGTACCAATAAATCTAATGAAAGAAAAAAGAACATATTTGTATTTTAAAATGATCTTTCTGTGGTGCTAACGAAGATGGGAAAAGGGAGAATGAAGGTTGAAAGAGATGTGAGAGGGGATTTAACACACAAGATGAACAATGATGTGTCTCAGGAAAGTAGCTCTGTGCATGTGGAAAGGAGCATTTAAGATACATCATTTACCTGATTTGATTATTCATTAATAGGAAGCTGATGTTGAAGGAAAGCAAGGACATTTGGTTATTGATTTCATCAGTGTATTCTCGGTTGCTCATTGAGTTCAGTTCACATGAAGGAGGTCCAGTCTTTTCTACCATGTGTACACTACTATAGTTCATTACCTTATCATTTTTTCTCAGGTTCAAAAATAAACCTGTTTAGTGAAGTCCATAAGGATTCCTTCCAAACTGTTACCCATCTTCCAAATCTTAAATTAACCAATCTTTTTTATGATTGGAAACCACCTAGGTCAATGATGGCGAACCTTTTAGAGCTTCATTGATAATAAACAGCCTGCTGCGACATGCATGCCATAGTTTTGCCACCACTGACCTAGGTTATCATTTCCTGTTAAAAGCCCCACACTCATAACCATCTCTATTCTGTCCTATAGTATTCCATGTGCTCTGAAATGCCCTTCTACCCTACTATACTGTTTATTTGTGAGGTTACTGCAAGTCACTTAATGTTCCATAATTCTCTGAAATGCAATTTTCTGTATTTTTAAAATGAAGAAAGCAACACTTGTCCTAGTCTTGTTGTATATTGAATATTTTGGACTGTGTGTTAAAATTGAGTTATATTGTTTCTACCACTCAAAATTCAACTCAAGCTTGAAGAATTTAACTCAAATTCACATATTCTGTGGTACTTTTTATAGCTCGAGTATTTGTAATGAGTCTTTCCCACTTGCATGCTCTCAGATTTCCCAGTTCCTTAGCAGCAATACCTCTTCTCCCAGGCAGTAAGCCTGTTCGTGTCCTTACCAGGCACTGTTCTTTGTCCATAGTGTTAGCACGGTAATCATAGTCTTTAATATTTAATTACAAAAATATCTTATCTCCACCGCACTTTAGCAACATCTAGTTTTTGTTTGCTTAAGATATAATGTCATACACCTCCATGATCAGACTTGCATTCTGACCCTTATGTTCATCAACTAAAACCTTTTCTTTTCCATCACCACCCAATTAACCTATTCT